CTTTCCCTCTTGTCATGCTTTATATTAACAGTCAGAGCCAAACATAAAGGAAGTTATGTATTAATGTAATTAAATCAGTGCCTAATTGCACCTTCTAATACTTCTTCAACAGAAACTTTTTCTGTATATGCCTGCCTTCTGTATGTGCACAGAAGGCAGACAGAGACAAAGAAAGCCAGGAACACAAACAGAAGGGTTATGAAAGTTGTCAGCATAGGGTAAATTATGACATTTAGTGGCAATGAGAAAGCATGTCCTCTGAGTTATCAGCTGTTTTCATACCTCTCTTCCAACTTAGCAAAGGAATATAGCCCATCATGTTCCAAAGGAGATTACTTCTACTACTGTAGCATTTAGCAGTATTAGTTCCCAATCTGGTCATTGAGAGCAAATGCAAAACACTCTACCATTACAACCATCCTAAGGTAGAACAGTGCTACTTCGGGGATATAACTAAATGTTCATGATATATTCAGAATTCTAAAAAACACTGACATTTTCATAGGGTAGCAAGCCTCTCCCAAGGATAATCAGCATAGAGTGTGGAAGAATCTGGCAGAGACACAAATGATCAGTACTTTAGAAAATAAAAAGTGAGACTAGACAGTGGGGGGACCATAGAAGAGAGTGCTAGAGGGTAACTAGAAGAACTGTCAAGGAAGCACTAAGGGGCAAACAGAACATTTGACAGAAGAGACTTAAAAAGCATTTGGCAAGGAAATAAAAAATTGGAATGAAGATTTGGTTTTAGCCACCCTCTTATTAGCATAAAGACAAATAAACATTCGGAAAGTAAAACACAACAAAATGCATCTGTTATGCAGACAGAACAAAAAATCCTCTGGATATAATTTTCTTCCCTTTTATTTTAAAACCTGACTCTAACAAAACAAAGAAATAAAAACATCTAAGTTTTATTTCTCACATTTCCAGGTAGCTTTCTACCTTTCATTTCAGTAAAAAGGTCACCTGACTCTTCTCACCTAACTTCCAACTGTCTGCATGATAGGTTTCAATTTGTCTGTTTTCCTCTCAACTGTGCCATAATTATGACTTTAAAATGGGATTCTCTTATCATATGTACCTCTAAAGACTAATTATGCTTCGAGTAGACTCTGCACACCTTGGAATGTGTTTGAAATGCCAGTCAGTTGAGCTGCTCTCAAAGCATGCTCCCTGCAGGATGCCAGAAGGAGAATGAAAGTGAGAGCTAATTTGAAGAAAATAGTTGAAAATACTAGTAATTAATGTGATTTATTTTTTTTTGTCAAAGTGTGTGGAGGGTACCACAATCTCAGAGCTGAGATTGGGTAAAGAAAGCCTATTGGCTAGAGAGTTTAGAAACGTACAGTCCCAGTCCAGTAACATATTTAAGCGTTGAAATTTGCCATCCATCTCTACCTAATCCCAATTCTTTACAGCTATCTCATTCATCCACTATGAATTTAAATATGAGAAGGGAACTTTGACTTGAGCACACAGCTGCCACCAAAATATTATAGAAGGACTCAGAAGTTACATTTGCTCTTTGCTTTCCAGTATCTAAAGGTAAAAATGTAACTGTATAGTACATTAATTTCTTGCAAACTAGTAACAGAACACTTGCCATGCAGAAGAGCTGCTTTAGATTCCTGTAGCAAGTGGAAAACTGTGGAATAGACACATTATATCTTGCCCCAATCTTATCAGTCCATAAGCCACGTCCAGACATCTTGCTAAAGGAAGCTATCAGAACTTAAAGACATTGTTTTCTCTTTACTCATACATTCTCATCAATAAATGGCAAGCACAAAAAGCAATCAGAGTCATGGTAACCTTCAGAAATTTCCATTTTATGAGTCAGGGCAAAGCTGTCCCTTTTTTCCTTCTCTTGCCTAGCAGCCTTCCCCAGTAACACAGATGAGTTTCAACTTCAAAACAGCATTATGGCCTCATACAAAACATAAGTCAATATATGGCAGGTCACTTTGGTTTTAAAGTTACCACCAGAGACAAATCCCAGTAGCCTCATTTTTATCTTGTTCATGCTTTGCCTGGATTTCAGACAGGGAAAGGTTATATGAACAGCTTGCAGAGCTTCCCCTGTCCCAGTGATCCTACTTCACAATATAAGGTTTCAGGAAGGCAGCTCTCACCTCTGTGAATCCAACATTACTTTTACAGGGCATGTTTATATGGCCAACAATGACTTTCAAATGCAATTTTGAATGCACAAATGCTTTCACATGCAGCACAGCGTTCAAGGGAAGACTTTCAGATTGCACAGTTACACACAAAACCTGTTATTACTTCAGAGCAATCTCTCTTGCAAAAAGCCACAATTCCATTAAATTTTCACACATTTTCAATACATGTGTACATTCCCTTGAAGCAAAACTCAAATTTTATCTGTGCTCGTCCTTACTGACTGATGGGAGGGCTTACCACACACAGTCAACTGCTGACAGCCACCATTGGCTATACGAAAAGATGTGTCAATGTCTGCCACTCAGGTACTCTTGTGCCAAATACTGCTAGTATTTTCTACTTACTGTGCAGTAACTGGCATCTGCCAATCAGTACTTGTCCTCGAAGACTCTGAAAAAGATATCTAATGAAACAGATGCATGCTCTATTTCATGGGTGATTCCAGAGCAAATATGTCCATTGTGATTCATTAAATGGAAACCATGACATCTTGCAAAAATACAAATTCTAGCTCAAAGAATTTGAATCCATGTTCACAAATTAATACTGATAGATTTTTTTCCCCATGAAGTCCTACAAAAAAACTCCATGCCTCAAAGCCCTGAGCAAAATCCCCACTGTCTTCAGAGGGAAGTGTTGCTAATCTTATAAAGAAATCCCTAAGACAGAAAACCAAATTGCAGTGCAGTTTTCAAGCCAGCCATCACCTATGTAATTCTTGTTCATTTCTCTGACAGGTCTTTCACAGAAGCAAAAAGTCTTAGTTTGTGGGAAAATATACATGAATTCCCATTCTCTTCAGTTGAGCCTTGGGTTGTTTTGGTTTTTTACTTGAACAAAACTGAATACTGCAAATATGAGGAATGAAATGCAAAATGGAAATTTAATTATGCTCTCTTGTAAGTCCATGGAACTTGCTAAAAAAATCCTACCAGATTTCTAAAGGCTCTGAAAGACATGGGTTTGGTAATTTTTTTAATTATGGCAGGTAAAATGATTTTGTTTATATTACATTCTACTGTAGTCCCGCAATCAAATGTGACTTTGAAAGCTAAGTCAAATGACATTACTCAAAAGTCTGTAAACTGAGAAGAAAAAAAAATGGGAGTCCTGAATTGTTGTCTCTTCTCACTATTGCAACTGATTTTTCTCCCTCATCTGACAAATGAACATATTGTTTCCTATGAAGATGCTGTGCTATCCAAACCTCATACAATGCAAAGAGGCAAAACACACGCTGAATTTTGAAAAGTAAAGAAAGCGCTTTCTTTGACTGAAAAGCTGAAAAAATCCAGACGTATTTAGAAATAAAACAAAAAAATCCTGTATGTGTCTGAACACTAGGCTCTGTTACCAGAGAGGAAAAAAATGGCTCACAACCAACACATTCAGGTGCCAAATTTACCCATGAAGCCAGATGTGAACAAGATGCAATGCTGAACCAAGCACAGATGTTATTTTTGCTGTCTTTTGCAAGGACTAATCCTTGGTGAGGTGTAAGCTTCTTGTTGTATGACATGGAATATATGATTAACAGCTACACTACTGTAAATGGGTGAGCAGTGACAGCCCCGGAACAACCCTCACCACCTCAGTACCTACCTACACTAACACTCCCATCTCTCAGAGGAACAAACTTACCTCACTCCCCAGTCTTCAACCAGGCTCCTTGATTTACCTCCTTTTATGTGAGTCTCTTTGTTTACAAAGGTCATTAAGCAGCCTGTATTCTAACCCCAGAAAGAGCTTACCATCCAGGCCAGACAGAACAGTATTCCTCATGGCCAGCACCAAACCAAGCGGTGATCCAAAGAGGAAGAAATCAGACACTTCGAAGTCAAATCGACCCAGGTTTACTTCTGAGAGACTGGAATTCACAGGAGGAAAGTCTGCACCACCTTTCAACACACTTGAGTGGATGCTGGGAAAAAAAATAAAAATGCACCGATTCAACAATAATGAAGAGGGCATCCAGAGAAAAAAAATCCATTCCCAAAACACGCTACTTAGAAAGCTCTAGCATCTGTATTTAGATCCAAGTAATATGCCTTAAACTGTAGACAGATATTGCAGTACAGCAGCCACTTATCATGGTTTCCAGTGCGGCTATTCAGTAAATTTACTACCTTCAACATGCAGGAGTTTTCAACAGTTATTTTACAGAATACTTATTGGTAAGTTACACAAGGGCTCTGAAGATTGACGTTTACCTCCCGTCCCTTTTAGAAGTATAGATGTATGAAAGCTTATTCTGAAACTTCTGCTACAAATTCTAACCTACTCAAGTTGTATAAGGACAATGGTATTAAAAGGTTACGGTCATAAAGTATGTTATGTGGGTGCATAAAAAGGGTTGTTCTAATCCATTCCCTCAGCTATAAACTAGAATTTCACTACTTTTCAACCATTTATTGCAGGTTAAAATTAGTGATGCGTATAGACAGCTTTTAATCTTTTAAGTGATTTAAACACTTTCAATTACTTTGTATGCCATACATGTGTGAGGTAAATACAGATCATCTATCCATCACTGACTGAGAAAAGACCTGCCTCTTATTTAGTTCTGCTAGAGATGAAATATCTAGCATATACACCTGCTGTCCAGTCACGAGACAGAGCAGAACATGACTCCAGAGCATGCAGAGCCTGACTGAGAGATGCTGACTTCAACCAGAGCTGTAACTGAAGCCCTCATGAGTTATCTGCACACTACACTCTGCATTAGTGGCCAAACATGGATCAGAATCCAAAAATCCTGAAGACTGGTCCCAATCAGGCCAAGACACCAGGCCCCTCTCTCAATCTGACAGCCTAGTGACATTCTCAATTTTATAACCTGATGTTATTAACTGAAACTCCAGGGAACAAGCTTAGAGCCCCTTTAGGGTAGAAATGAAGAAAGCCAAGAATTAAATCCATCACTGGCAAAGCAGATGGGAGTTACCTCTCTATGCCAGAAACACTCGGACAAAAAGCATAAGCTGACACACTGAAACACAACCACAGTGCATAGGACAAGGACGTTTCTGTGTGAAAGAGTGATCTTTGTAACCTCATCACTCACACTGACACACCGCCTCTAAACTGCAGTAAATGAGCTCATGGGGGAAAAAGTCTTAATGATCTTATGCAAGTCTCACAGACAGGAAATCAAAAGTTTGGAATCTCTCTGTATGTACAGGGTGGGTCAGAGGATGACATGGTTTGGTTTGATTTGCGGGGGTTTTCCTCCCTCTTTACCTTACCAAGGAATTTTTTCTGCTGTTTTTAGCCTGTGTTTGTCCAATTATTCCTCAATAATTTAGCAACAGCCTAAAGTTTGAGGAGTCCAAAATATGAATGAAAGAGAACACTTTTCTATCTGCTTAAGTACAGCTGCATGTAAAGCTTTCAGTTTAAAATCACAGGCACACAGAAAATGAAAAAAGGCTTAGAAGAAAATTGTTATCTTTGTCTTTTAATTATCCTATTATCCCCCAAGTCTGAAGTGCTTTATACAAGCCAACATTGTGCTTTAAACATAACACAGTATTCCTTCTATACAAGAACCTAAAAGTGACCAACCAAAAAAATCTTCATGTTTTCAGTTGTAGACAAACGAAAACCAACCATTTCTGCCTCAGAGGGAAGACGCTTTACAACATACTGATATCCAGAAAACCCAACAGTATGAAAATAAAAGCAGAATAGTCAACAAAAGCAAAGCAAAGTACATTCAGTCAAAGCAAGAAAATAAAATTCCTTTAAACTGCTACTAAGAAAACTGCCAGACTTCAAGTAAAGCACAGTAGTAAATCTGTGCTATGCTCAACTGTAGCAGAACTGAAACTTCAACACACAATAAGACTTTTCCCTCTGCATCACTCCCAATGAAATAAAGGAAATAAGATGATGGCTAGAGGACAAAAAGCACAAAGAATTAAGATACATTAAACACCAAATAGCTTGGAACAGGCAGAAACAATGAGACAAAGGGAATACTTATCTTCCCATCAAATCTGTGTTTTAAAGGTTTCTTACGATCCAGGAAAGCTAATTAACTCTCCTCCCCCAGACTCCTCCTCATTTAAGCCAAATGTTTAAATGTTTGCAGTTGGGTTTTTTTGTTTTAAAGCTGATCGCAATAGCTCATAGACCAATGGGAGCACTGAAAGCAATTGTCTCACTCTTTACAGAATTACAGAAAGCATTTAAGTGAAGTCAGAGGGATCTTTAGATAAACGTAACAGAAATTTAGAGTTATAAAGCATTCATTCATCTTGATTTGTGTGGGCTGCACTGAAGAAATTGAACTACTTGCATTCAGTTTTGCATATTCAAAACTCTCACTACTGAATAAAGATTGAATAAAAAACTTTCCATGTGTGAATAAATTCATACTAGACCCACCATTTCTACAGTTTTCTTTGATGGGTATACAGGGACTGTAAGCAAATCTCCAGAAACACACCACAAACAACAAAAATTATTCTGTTGCTCTGCTGCTGAGAGGCTCCATTCAATGGCAAGCCTGTTTCTTTCACTCAGTCATCAAGCACTAGTTACCTAGACAGGAAAGCATGATGTTGGGTTATAGTATCACAGTCATAGGTGGATGAGTCACTCTGTTTCCTAGGCAACGGCTGCCTTGGCTTCTCATCCTCCATGATTCCCGAGATGTCAATATTGCTTTTGCTCAGGCGTTTGCTGCCACTCAGACTTGAGTCCTCTGCTAAGAGGGGATTATCCTTCAGAGAATGAACAGAGCAAAAGGAAGATTTAGACAGTGACCAAAATACGACAGAGCTTATATGAAACGGCTGCATTTGTACATTTGACCTCACTTTATCCAAGAAAGGGTGGAATGGGTAAGACTCTCTCTGCAGCAGAAGATAAGGAAAGAGATGAAGACTAAATTTCCCTGTAAGATGTATAGCCTAAAAGCTGGAAGGAGCATCAGGATTTTTTTTGTGGTGGGGGAGAAGGAATAACATAAAAGTTTTATCCTTCATCACGTCATCATTCTTAGAGAACTATAAATATCATAAGGTAATCAGAAGGGGTCTTACCTGAGTGCACAAAATGCCCATTACAACATTAATAGTCTTGCTGATGATGTCCATGGATGAGGGACTTGATTTTTTAAGAATGTGAACTTCTGTGGGATGCAAGAGGAGACCAGTGGTACCATATCTTTAAGGTACCCCTCAAAATAGGAAATAGATTTATTTACTGTTCATCTCCTCCAGCACTTCTGCAGCTTGCACCAGCATCCTCCCTAACATATCCCTATTACCCCCAGACTTTTATTCCTGCATCTGTTTCAGTAGCCAATGCACATGCTGCTTTTCAAAACAAATGCCATGGGACTGAATTTCCCCATTCATGTGTGTAAGGCATGCAAGATCTGCTTCTAATAACTGTGTAATCCAATTCTGTGTAAATCTCCTTCTATTCACATCAACAAAATAAGACAGTGTGTAAATGCCTGACATCTATTTTTACAAAACTTCAAAGATACGAACATCAACAAGGCACAGTGGGAGAACAAATACAGTTAAACCTCTTCTAATCATGTAATTATTGCTTTTCATCCATATTCTACTAAATCTTACAATGCAGTACCAGAATTCATGGGATGATATGATATAATTAGCATTAGCATCTTAATAACCTGCAGAAGATTAGTTTAAGACCAGCATGTTCACAGACAATTATTCTTGTGATGGTACAATGAAAAAACTTAACATGCAAGTAGGAATTCCTTTCTGCATTTCATAGTAATGTAGCAAAATTCGTGTCACGCCAACTTTCATATTAAAGTTGCGTGAGATTTAGGACCTTGCTTGGCATAACACTAATGTATCTACAATGTTAAAACTAAGCCTCGCTTCTTGTAGTTGTTACTATTAATGAGCACAACGAACTATTTCACAGGGCCAGGTAAGAGGTGAGGGCTCCTGCTGTGTGTTGGCAGCTGACTGCTCCCACCATTTTGTGTGCTATAGTGACGTAAAACCAAAATAGTCTCCACCTAAACTATGTGCTTCTAATGAGGTCAAAATCAGAACCAATGACAGGCCCTACTTCTATTTTTTTTACATAATCAGTAACTTTTTTCCAGCCTGGCACTGACTCTATGTAGCTTGATTTGCCCTGCAGTTTACAACCTTACAATGCACTTGGCCTTGCTGAACTTCATGAGGTTTGCGTGGGCCTGCCTCTCAAGCCTGTCCATGTCCCTCTGGATGGCATCCTTTCTCTCCAGTGTCCCATCTGCACCATGTAGCTTGGTGCTGTCAGAAAACTTGCTGAGGGTGCACTCAAACCCACTGTCCATGTCACAAACAAAGATGCTAAACAGCACCAGTCCCAATGTACGCCTGAGGAACACCACTCATCGGTAGTCCTACGTGGGCATGGAGCCATTGACTGCAACTCTTTGAGTGCGACCACCCAGCCAATTCCTTATTCACTGAGTGGTCCATCCATCAAATCCATGTCTCTCCAATTTAGAGACAAGGATGTCATGCAGGACAGTGTCAAATGACATGCTATGTGGCACGTTGTTATTGCACTGCAGAAGAAAGCCTTCATTTTCTTTGGTCAAACAATACATTTTAAACTCGATGGGTAAAACTCAGGTTTTCCAAAGTATACATATCACAGACAGTTCAATGAGGGAAGAAAAAAGTAGTTTAAAAGGACAAGGGACTAGATCTCTGTGAGACGACCCTAGGGAAGGTCACTGGGTAATTGGCTAGGCATCGTACAAGAGAGCAGGATTCAAAGTTGTCCTTTTCTGTATCGCATGCAACTCTCTCCCCACACTCATTTACATTTTTTCCACCACTGCTCCCTGTACCTGTCTTCTTGGACATAGCATTATGCTACTGCATTACACTGTTGAAGTGTCACTCTTCACAATTCATAACAGCAAATGCCCCAAGTAAAAATAGACTTTACCATGCTTAGTACTTCTAAGCAACTTGCAAAGAGTGTAAAATCTAACTACACGAAACAGAGAATGTGAGAAAAAGCGCAGGGCTTACAGATGAGGACTGAGGCATGATAGATCAAGAGACTTGGCCAAAGTCACGCAGACAGACTATGGAAAACATGCTAATTGAATCTATTTCTCTGAAGCTACAGAAAGAACAAGTTCATAGGACAGCTATTTCCCATAACCTCACTCAGTACTGGAGCACATTAGCAACCCTGTGCATGTGGGGTGAGATTTCATGTCATGTAGAGATGTTGAAGAACCTAATCTGTTCTCCAGAACTATGCAGATGAGTTGCAGGAAAATGAAACCAAGACAGAAGCAGTATATAACCTACGAGATGAATCTTCCACACTGTTCCACCTATAGTCTTCAACAGCCAAGAGGACCTCCTGGCTTCTGTGACAAGTGATGAACATGGAACCCGGGAACTATAGTTAGTGCCAGTTCTGGAGCTGGCTTTTATGCCATGAACAATCTGTTCATGTGATAGTCCCCTGGGGGCTGAACAGGGACCAAATTAATTTTACACGTTACTGAACAGCCATTCAATAGGGAAAGCCTGACAACCATTTCACTGAGACAGAAGGTTATTTGGTGAGAAGAATTATCACTGAGAAATTAACTTCTCTAAACCATCTGGGCCTTCTCTGCATTTGAATAGTGAAAATTATGTCAGATGCTAAGAGTATGTTAAAATGTCTGCACACTGTGATGCCATGGTGAAGAGAAAGTGTTCAAATTTATAGTAGTCTGATACATTAAAAAAAAAAAGGCTTGTTAACGAATCCCGTATTGAAATCTATTCAAAAAACCTGGCCCGATTTTAATCTCACTAGTTTGAGCATTTAGGTTCACCTTCACGACACAGTCTTTCTTGTATACTGCAAAAGAGACTGAGCCAAACCAGCATCTATATTATTCAGACCAGGGAGTGAGATACTGTTTCAAAAAAAATACTAAACCACTTAAAAAGACATTAGGAAACACGTAAGAAGAAGGTTAAGGTGATCAGTATAAAGACTATTCTCTGCATTTTAAACAGTTAAAAAGTTTGTTTTCCATTGCTACAAGCTCTTTCAACTCCCCCACATGCCACAATTAAAATCTCATCTGCAGTAAAATGGTATTAATACTGGGATTTGAATCAGTCACTCACAGGTAGCTTTTATTTATCCTTGATTCATGTGAAGGAAATCATCAACTTTCTCCATTCGTCCTAATGAAGAGTTGTCTACTTCTAAATTACGAGTATTTTAGCTGTTGTGACAAAAAAGAATCATCTTCCTCTTCTAAGAGACAGTGTTCCCAAGCAAGTATAGCGATTGCTAATATAAGACTTTGGGTTTCCACTTCTGATGATGGACCAAGTTCACTTCATTCTGTCCTTTAATAACCCAAGGAGGGATAGGATGATGACAACAACAACACTGGCTTTCTTTGTTAAGTATTTTGACATTTGCAAATGTAACTGATTTTTAAAAAGCAAGAGTTACTAGTCTGGTCTGAGCAGAGTGACATTTGCTCTACTGCAGTTTCTTTTATTGAACATGCAGGTAAAATTTCATATACTGCGCTGTACAAGCATATACACGCAACAGCCATCATGATCTCAGTAATCATTCACATTTCTGCCTATACTGTAGAAGTCAATACCTATTATGGATAATCCCAACTTGATTATTTAGTGTGAATACTAGAATACAGAAAACAGACTACTACACGCAAACCAACAAATACTCACTTGGGGTAGTAGAAAAGTGTACCATTCTAATTCCTTATTTACATTGTTTCGTTAAATTAACAGGCCCTCTCTCTCCAAAAGGAAATTTCTAGTGCCTAAAACTGCGAGCTATTCAGAGAATGTAAAGGTCATTGCATCACCTATCTAGCTTATTATTATAGACCATTTTGAAATAAACAGAGTAAGAAGGCCGGAACATAAAATGCAATGGTTGAGAATACCTCAGTCTCATCCTTATTTCCAACTAGTTTCATTTCACAAATGCTCCTGACATTTGGGAAATGGTAAAGTAAAAATATCTTATACTTCCACGTCTCAAACTCTTCCAATGAGATCCATTTCTATTGGAGACACGAAAGAAAGGGGGAGGTGAGAGGGACGACAGCGGGGGAGGACAAACAGTAAAAAAAGAGAGTCCTCCTGAATGCCTTTCACAGGAGCACACTGAGAAAAATGGACAGAAAGAGAAGATAAGGAAGGAAAAGAGTACTTCAGTTCTTCTAAACATACAGAGTATTAGAGATGAAGACAGGAGGGAAAAAGGGAAGAGATGGAGAGAGGAATGGGAAGAGAAGTTCTGTGGTATCAGGAAAAAGAGAGGAATACAGGAAAGTTGAAGCTATAAGAGCAGGGAAGTCAAGAGAACCTACACTCCCTAAAGCCTGATCCCCACTCTCAGAATCATCAGTAGCCCTTGCACAATCAACCCCACCGTAGGACTGGGATCCAGGAGGACCATTTCTCCATTTCCTTTGCTTGCAATGCACCGTCCTCAAAGGCTGGCTGCTGAGAATACAGAGCCATGTTACTAATGGTAAGTAATTCTCCTTCCCGGAAACATTTAGAGGATGTCTCTTTGATTGACAGTACTCCCATCACACATAGCTCTCAACTGAAGAAAGCAGGTTGGTATCACTGAGCCTATTTTTGAGGCGAGAGCTAAATAAAAGAGCCAAGAGATGAAACAATTTGGCCAGGGTCACAAAACCATCAAAGAACGCAGCGTGGGCACCTCAATTAGTGTCAACTCTAATACACCACCACCCCTCTCCTTATCCACTTGAGTCTGAACTACATAAAATTAGTCGAACTTCAATTTTCTTTCTTAAATGTTGAACACAACAATAAAGCTTACATGCTAGCATTACTTTAAAAAATTGTGCTTTTACTACCATAAAATCTTTCCTGGATCACAGTTAGAATTGATCCTTCCATCTCTCCAAATGTAGCACTCTTATAGACACTGTTATGCTCAGTGGCCCATTCACAGATACTCAGGTGACTTGCATTCCCTATGGACATTCTTTCACCAGTCACTAAAACTTATTCCTGAACACATCCTAATGCTGGACTACCTCCAGGCAGTAGCATAACAAATTCCAGACCCTATGTGAACAAATAAAAAAAATGATAAAAAGAAACATAAAAAATATTGGCAAAACCAGGAGCCTACCAGAGGTTACTGAGAGAGAACATGTTTGCACCTACAGTTGGGGATACAATAAAGTGCACTTAGTAAACCTACTTTAAAGATTTACAGATAAAGCCTTCTGTATGTCATAAAACTGAAGCTGCAGACAATTTTCAGACTAATTTTTCCATATATGAGCAAAATCCCATGCTACGTGGCAATTTACCAAATCCTTAAATTTTCTCTGTTTTTTATGGAGCTCACTTCCTTCAGAGAATGAATCTACAGGGTTTCAGCTGTGTGGATTTTTTCTCTTCACCTGGATGCTGCTGATGCTTCCTCTCCTGCTACTGTTCCGACTCTCGTCAGCTGTATTAGAATTATAGCAGATAGCATCAAAGCCCAAAATTCCTCCAATGCAGTCACCAATGAGACACACCTGAGGAAATAAAAAGATTTTTTGGGAGATGTAGCAAGTGGTTTAGAAGAAACAAAAAGCATCACAGCACTGCAGTGGATCTGCTGTCTTACTTTACACCCTTGCTCCTGTTTTTTTTACACTTTGATTCCTATTGCAGCTGAAAACGTGTAGCCACTTTCTTCCACTTCCTTTTATGTCCAGAAATACACCCTATGCCAAGAATATCTGTCACAGGGACTATTTTGACCAGCTGGGAGTTCTGCTAAATGGGCCAGAATACTCCCAGCTGCTTGCAGCCAGATTCCAGCTCAAAAAGTCCCTATCACTGGACAACTGCTTTCACAAAGATTTCAGGCCACTTAACACTTCCTTCAGAGTTACACAAGGAAGAGGATCTCAACAGATTAAAACCAGATTGGTACTCCTCTGTCAGGACAAGGGAATGGAACTTTTAAATGAGGTATTGAGCAGAGAGAGAGAGATTCACTCTTGCTTCACATTTAATATAAACATACAAGCTACCTTCAAAGTATAGGCCTGGGAATTAAAATACAGAGAGTACTAAAATTGGGAATTCAATAGTTGGAGTAATTTTATGGCACACTAGAATCTACCTCACAAGCCAATTCCACTGAACACCTCCACATCCCATAGGAGATGATTCTTTCTCCCTGTCCCCATGCCTGTGTGAGTAACAGCTGTATTACCTTCCTCCATGATAACAGCCTCCATGGTTCCACAGGTTCCAGCCACCCTTTCTCTCCAATTCTCAAACTGAAGCAAATGTCTAGTCTGTTGTTCCCAGCTCCAATTAGTTTAACAGAAGTTTAATTCAGCTCAGCTACAACACTAAACTACAACTTTTGGATAACAGGATGTTGTGCTTGATTTCTTCAAAGTGACGCAAGTTAGGAAAAGCAAGTGCTTCAAGAAACAGGTAGGGGAAAACCTCAAACTTCTCTTAGTGCATCTCCACATACCACAAACTCTTAATTGAGTACGTTTCTTGGGATAAAAACATTTTAAAAAATAGAATATCAAAATACATTAAGGTAACACCTAAGACAATTCTGGTTCTAAATTTGTATACAATTGAACAGCACGCTGATGTACTCTCTGATTTTCAAATTCCTACACCATGCAATGAGGTCCAAAAAGAACTGAAAATTATGACACAGGTAACCTTAACAAAATTAACAGCATGTTTTGTGGGGGATTAATGGTATCTCCTTCAATTTACCATTCCATTTCTAATCCTTATTACTACTGGCATTAAGGTAATGAAATGAACTCATTCCAGATACTGGACAAAACCAAAAAAGGCAACCTCAGATCTAATGAACCTGCAATATAAATGGACAGAAAAAGACCAAAATATGAAAGGAAAGGTACGTACAGGGTGGGGGTCAGGTTATATGGTATGTATTTTAGAAGTACAGGACTTATTCAGAGGTAGAGTTGAGATTTCTATCTAAGGATCAAAGCAAAACACTGTAGGCAGCACAGAGAAGTCACTTCCATTCTAACAATGCTGGTAATTGCTGATGGTGAAAATTCTGTGGAGCATACAGAGGTCATGCAGACTTTTCCATGTGAAATATTAATATATATGGTTTCTAAAATACACCAAGGAGACTTCTTTGTAGATTTGCCAAAGGAAAAAACCCCTTAATGCTCAATTTCTATTGAGAGAATTGTTTTCACAATTATTTCTGTAACAGGTATAATTCTTCTTTACATACTCCAACCTTTCATAACGTTCTGTCACTGCAGCTGGGCTGTTTTTATGCTTCAAGCAAGAATAGCTTACTACGGATACTAAAACTGGCTTCATACCAAATTTTAGTCTAAAAATACGGATATGCCACAGCATAATCTTAATACTGCTATGGAAAATAATTTGTGTAATGACACATACTTTCCTTTGAAGACTACACTGTACTCTATGTTAAATGTCTTTTTTTTCTTTTTCTTTTTCTAAAGTCTGGAGGTCACTTTATTTTAAAGAAGTGCATGCTTCCAGCTACATAGAGGGCCCCATCACAAAATAATTTCAGCCACTCACACAGGGTAGCAGTATCATATTTATGCTATACAAAGCAGGAAAGTACGGGGTTTTGTAGTCTAAAGATGGAAAAACAGGAACAATAACTGTGACACATCAGCTGGAAGAAGTCTGCAGGTGACTTCACTGGGGAGTGAGTCACACCAGAAAAATTACATGACTTTCCCAAAGTTACACAAGAAGTCTACAACACTGCTGGCAACAGAGTGTCTTCTAAGTTTCTTTACTGTCAATTGTTTTATTACAATGGAGGCAAAAAAGAAATAGCAATAGTTAAAGGCTGGATTCCTTATGGTTTTAGAGATGTCACAACTTTTCTATCAGCTAGAGCAGGTGTGTGAGGAGCTCAGTAACACAGATTATCATTTGTCTTGTGCTGGCATGCTTGTTCACTCCTTAGCGTACCACGCTTACAGCACATCTAAGGCTCTTATCATTACCAGAGTTCGCAGCAACACTTAGTAAGAGCTTAGGGGTCAAAATGCTTACAAGAGAAGGTACAGTATCTTCTAGCAACTGAGTAAGTCCAGGTTAGATACTGCACAGGATTCCAGAAGTGTCTTTCACATGCTGGGCACTGAGAAGGCATTTTGTACAGGTAATCCTGTGCTAACATTCATTCATCATATCTGCAGTATTGTCCCACACTCATAACTCAAAACCCCCAACACAACGCCTTAAAAAGAAACAGCCTTGCTCCGAAGGAATTTTACTTTGATGCAAGAGAAAACAGTCCTACCTGTCCATTAAAACCAGCCCCATCTGTAGATTTGAGAAATTCATTGTAAACTTGATTGGCTCTACTGATCACCATGGCAACTGCATCCTGGTACTGAGGGGATGAAATGGCCAGCAAGGGCAAGGCAGCCAGTGGGATGTGGTCTTCACTGCTGCTGAGACAGCTCTCATCATAGCTGTAGGGATTTAGGCTAGAGAAGGACATGCTATCATCAGGAAAAATGCACACAGCATTAGAGAATGAACAGTTACTTATTACCAGAAATGGGTTGGGCTATTGCAGTTCACAATGAGAGAATACAGGAAGGATCATTTTCTCACATAATTCAACAGCTTAAAAAAATCAATGACTTACTGCTTTATGTGAATGAGATCATGCTAGAAGGCATTTCTGTAGTTAAACATACTTGGTGCAATTTTTCCATATACAAGTAGACATAATTTAGAACAGCAAAGAGATTATTCCATTTCAGCTTTTTTTTCCGGGCCCCGCCCCCCCCATATAACAACTTACTACATCAAAGAACGGGATCCAACCATCACAACGGAATATTGTTTCCTAGAACACAAGTGTGACAGATGCATTGTTCAAAAGCATATAAAAACATTTTTCCCAGCGTCCCATCCTTTCAAAAACATGGAACAAAGTTGCACACATTCTGAAATCATATGTAAATGTTTGCATAGTAACATTTTGCAATAAAGAGGTAACTCGACTGAAAACGCAAGCTTAAATTTGATAGGATGTCGGCTTTATTTTAGCTTGGATGTGCATCCTGCAAGTTTCTCAGTAAATCTGCCAATCATACCTTGACCGATTTTTATTGATGAGTGGGGAAAACAATTCACAGAGTGCCGAAGATGCAAGGCACATTAGTGTGCACCAGATTCTCTTAGAGCAAGTTGACAGTCCTTTAGAGACTAAAGGAAAGTCAGAAGTATTTTGGATAATTCAACTGATACAAAGTTCATCCAAAGCCACAGGCAGGCAACTTCAACACTATTTTGTATTCACTTTCTTTAGGAACTTGGTGAGCTATCACAATATTAAAAAGCAAGCTGCCTGAAATGGAATTAGTCTATGTCTTTGCTAAAACCTGCATCCTTGAGACTAATACCAGGGTTGTGGAAGAAGAACAGACGACTTGCAACACTCAAGTATGGAAGCTGGTCTGTGTTCACGTCCTGAGCCTCACAGGACATTTCCACACTTGCCTCTTGCTGAAGCACTCCAATGATTTGGTATTTTTCATCCACAGTTTCCATGTCCTAGAGCTCAGGTGGTCTGCCAAGCTGTGTCAGTTTACCAATTCACACAGCTTCATTTTGCCAGCTGATTACATCATCCCAATGCACAGCAGACATACAATTAGGAATACTAACTCTCAAAAATGAAAAATGAACCTTAAAAACTTACTTAAAAAGGCTTCATTTAATATAACAATTGGCAGGTAACACCTCAGAGAGTGAAAGGGAGAATCACAGGAGGAAAAAAACTATGAAGTGAATGTTTGAAATGGAAAAAAAACCCTTGCATATGTTTTCATAATAAAAGTAAAATGCAAACAATATTCACAAGAGAACTACACAAAACAGAGTCAATGGAAAAATAAATAGCTGGTAATTTTTTTTTTTCGTGGCTAAAGGAATATAGATCAAAATGAAATTGAGCAATTATTGCCTAGACAATTGATCGCAGTTAAGTGGTTTAAAAATAAGGGTTAAGTATTAGTGCTGAAGCTGAGACAAACAGATAATACATCAGCACTGGAGCTGAGAGGAGCACAAGTCTTGTTATCTTGATGCACTGGCAGGACACTGCAGGTGGTCCTTCCAAAGCACCACCTTGGAAACATCACCCTTGCACAAAGGCTGGAAACGGAGATAGGAAATCACAAGAAAGCAGCTGAAATACCAAGCATAAGAGCCTGACAGATAAAGTCACCCATGTTAGAACCTAACACCTCCCTGACAAAAGGCAGTAAATGACTAGGCTGCAAGACCAAACTGGTGTTCCATGGTGGGTAAGAGTGCGCCTGGCTCCCAAGGGAGAAGTGATTGATAGCACAGTGGCATCTGCCCGCAGGGAAAACTGAGACTGCACCATGGAGATGGGGGGTGAGGGGTTACTCAACCAGAGGGAGAAGGGGAAGGAAAGGAGGAACAAGGGAATAAAAGCTTATTCTGAATGCAGAAAGCATCTGGCTGGATGCAGATTAAGACAAAACACTGGTCCCTCCTCAAAACTTCCTCAGTTCAGCAGTCCCTGACCACGGCAGAGGTGACAGGAGAAAGCAGAGTGGGAAATCACCCATATGGTAACACTCGTTTGGATAACTATCGCACAACAGTTTTTTGACGTTTATGGTTTGGCTATCTGCACTCCATGCTGACCGTTCTAGGGACTTGCTCTTGCTGTTTCTGAATGCCAGAATATGCATTTACTTCCTCCACTTTCAGGATAAAAGAAAAACAAGGAATAGAAAATACTCAAATCTTAAAGACTGGACTTCTCCATACACTTTCTAATTACATTATAAAAGTATTTTAAAAAAATTAATTGGGAAAATGCAACATCAAGAGCTTACATTGCAGGACGCACCACTGTGCAAGGAGCACGCAAGGGGCTGAGCACTCCAAAATTCATCTAACAGAACCCTTTCATCTCATTTGATTATTGAAATGCTTACTTTCCTACTTAAGTGTTCGCTTCCTAAATGTAACTTTTGTTTTGGCCTTTTTTCTCTTGTCTTCCTCCCTGCCCCCCAAATTTGCAATTACTATTCTCTAGTTTGGCTAATAATATAATTTAGGAGCTCTAGTCTGAGGTGTGAATCAAGGTATGCTCATCAAATCATATGCTATAAAATACATAACAGTTGATCCACTCTGGGATATTTTTCTCCCTGAAAAGGGAAGAGATGGCTCTCAAGTCATCTAGCTGGAACAAGAACATGCCTTATTTTAAACCCTTATCTATCCTTACCAGCAAAGACAGAGATAAGTGTCACAGGAGATCAGTCATGCATTACAAATTTACACTGGTTGCATAAACAGTGTCTTTCTGATTTATATGAGAGATACAGGACACGGAAAGTGATGGAAGTAGATGGGAGCAGACCAGATTAAACAATCATCTGAAACATTTACTAGATGGAGTAATTTTGCTCTTCAAGATCCTTTTTCTTTAAGCCACTATTTACAAGGCAGGCAGAAGAACTGCATAGTGCATTCAGATGAAAAAAGTCCCAGTGGAATCCCTCTGAACCCAGGCACTCAGCACACAGACACAGCATAATTCAAAACCTATACCAAGGTAATCAGAGGGTTGTACTACCTTGGCACGCACTATGCCTGCACATTCAGAAAATGGAAGATACATTCAAACCAAACAAGAAATCTTGTGCTGCTGCTTAGTCAGTCATCTGGCTCACCCATGATGAAACATTACAGTAATTAAACACACACTTCCTCCCCCACAGTTTGCTAAATGGAATGTTTACCACAAGTTTATATTCCACAACTGCATCCTGGATTTCTGGCTGTGAAAGCTGCTGGCATGAAGGTGCAGAAATGTGAGAGCAGGGAATCATCTCTCCTTTTGTCAGCCCCAAATGGGTACATCACAAGCACCTCCACGCAAGAACATACCATGGCAATACCAATCTTATGTCAGTGCTGGGGATGATTCTCTGGGGCATTCAAACATTCAGATTGGCTATTTTCAGCCTGGCTGAATACCATGTGCTGCAACAAGATGGAATCAAAAAACAGAGAAAGAAAGTGGGAGCTCTGTTCATTTAGGCTGCCAGCACACACTCTTCCTTCCACTCTACCAGCTCTTCTTCCAGATAGTTGAGACCTGCAGGCACTGCATTCATGGGATACCTGAGACACTACTGAGCCCTGTGTTAATCAATGGCCCAAATGGGCAAGGATGATCTCCCAAACACTCTTTGATGCTTCACCTCCTCTTTGACTATCAGTCCTCTGGCTTCACAGGGCAGCAACTTGGACATACACACACTTCTCCTTTCCTGGTTGTTTCAGTGTATTCCCCCTCGATGCGAACAGTCAGGCACACTGTCTGGTCTGCACTCTGCCACCTCTTCCTCCTATATGCCTTTAAGTCCAGCTAGTATTTCAGAACTCTAATATATTTCCTATCTCTCCTCTCTAACTCTGTCATCTGGACAGAAGGCATCACCATTCCCACATCTTATGGTCCAAAACATGGCTGTAGACCTCCTCAACTCTTCTGCAGAGTTTTCTGCTCTATATGAGGTTCAAATGTAACCTTGGGCACTACACTGCAACAAAAAGACTATAAAAGCAACCATCACTTAGGGGAAGCCCCAGACAAGACCAAGGGAAGTTTCTCTTTGCTTAGAAAAGAAGAAAATCAAGGAAATCTGATTCTCTCCTCTCCATCACTACAGAGTTCACTAGTTATTCCTGGCTTACGCTGGTAAAAGAGTTGACACAGACCCAAGAGCATGTCTGTCTTTCTCCTTTCTCGATCATGACATTTAAAATATTTATGTCAAGGAAAATATCACTAAGGAAAGAAATGTTACCTGAAAAGATTCTCTTACTTAATGAGTGAATTTCAAGACCAAAAACATGGTCAAGGAAGAGCAGCTACTGAAGTGGATACATCCAATGGAAAATTCCATTTGGTCTTTATAAATTCATTTCATTAGAGCCAGGGGGACAAATAACAACATCAAAAAGATTTTAAGGTTTTAATCCTTTCCTTACGGAATATTCTGCATCTGCCCAGTTGCCTTTTAGAATACTGCTTGGGCTACCACTAGAACTAGAGCACAATCAGAACTACACTACCAGAGTTGACAGAATATAATTGATTATCATTACAACAATGTGGAAGCCAATCAGACAGCACTCAGTCAAAAGTTTGCTCACCACCTGCTAAAACTTTCATCCATTTAGTGTGCAAGTATCACTGCACAGAAAAGTTGTTTCAGGGGAGGGGGGGAAGTAAAATTAAGTTGGTTACACTATTGCTGCTACGGTCCTTGTTTCTTCACGAACCTTGTAGGCTTGGAATGAAAGTGTAACATCTCCTTAATCATATAGGCTAAGATCAGCCTTTGCTCCTTGGTGTTAATAATCCAACAAAGAAACACCCAGATCACTCCCCTCACAAACTATCTCCTCTCATGCTTAACAAGGCACCAGCTGTCAGAGCAAAGTGTCAGCATAGCTGTTCCCTTTCCAGCTTTCAGGGAACATGCCTTAACCACAGTATTTTCTTACTCCTACATCCCTTAAGCTTTTCTCATGTATCCTATGCTACAGGCACACTCCAGACAGCAGAAATGTTCCTGTTCCTTTCTCAGGCTTTATGCTAGACCCTTGGTTAATGACAAAATATTTCCTCCTTGTATCATTTTAGCCTTGTTTCTGTTCAACAACTCAGAAGTGAGGCACCGACTGACTGATTTTCTCAGTTATGGTCAACCAGAAAATTTGTAACAGACCCAGGAATAGTAGTCCCTAAGTGGACACTATAACTAGAGTCATATTTCCTCTCCCAAAGCAGTTGCTAGATGTCATTCTTCACATCTCACAGCACTGTCAAAAAGAGCGCATATCTGAAATTGTTACTGCCGCACACATAACAATTGTTAAAATTAATAGTAGTAATAGTTTTGCAAGGTAACGATACCTTTCATACAAGCATGCACACAGGAACTTTAAAACGTATCATTGTTGCCACACAGCTAGCAGCTCAGAGTTATGCTCTTGCTTTGAGCACAGAAGTGGGTCGCCATCCCTGGAGGTATTTAAAAGACGTGTAGACGTGGTGCTTAGGGGCATGGTTTAGTGGTAGACTTGCCAATGCTAAGTTAACAGTTGGACTCCATGATCTTAAAGGTCTTTTCCAACCTAAATGATTCTATGATTCTGTGAAATACTAGACTAAGCAGGTTGCTGAGATGCAGTTGCTAACTACTCTTTCTCTGAGAGTTGCATTTAGCATTTCATAGCGACTTGTTTTTGTATCAAAATATTACCACAGCTTTTTACACAACAATAATTTTCAAATGCAGAAATGACTACCAGGAGTCTCAGAAAGCCACTAGACTTAATGCCAGTGTGATCTGATGAACTATCTCTTCAAGCCAGACACATACTAAAGCACTTTTGTGAGAATTATCTTAACCTCCTCCCCCAAAAAAACCAACCTCCCCCAAAAAATCCCAACACTCCCCAAACTCTCCCCAAATCCCAAACCCAGACTATTTTTTTTTTAGTTAATAAGCAACTTCCTGAAATGAAATCATTGTCTCTGCTTCATATAGCAACTAGTGTTTCCTAGCAGAATCTGGTCTCAGACTGAAACAGGACCTGATAGCTAGAAATGTAAATTGAATGTCATGTAACACAACCATACTATAGTTCAGTGTCATTTGACTATACAGAGTTCTGCTAGTTGTGAAATTTACTAGTCTTATCAATGACAACATGTTTGAG